GATAATTTATCAAGGAAAGGAATTTATTTCTTGCAGTTCTTGAGACTGGGAAGCCCAAGGTCAAGGGAACATAGCTGGTAATGCTGGTGAGGACTTTCTACACAGTCCCAAGGCAGTGTAGGGCATCACACAGACAGAGAGCTGAGCATGCTAAGATGCTAGCTCGGGTCTCTCACTCTTTTTATAAACTACAAGTTCCCCTCCCATGATAACCCATCAGTTCATTAACTCATTAATTCATTAATTAAATGATCCATGAATGAATTAAGCCATTCATAAGGGCAGAGTCCTTATAATCCAATCACATCTTAAAGGCCACACCACTCAATATGCCTACATTGGGGATTAAATTGGGCATGAGTTTTGGAGGTGACAAATATTCAAATGATAGCACATCATTAATTTGGAAAGTGATCCCAAGAAGCTCTAATAGGAGAACTAGGAAGGCCAAAAGGTGATAAAAGGAAGAGAAAGAAGCCAATGCGGGTGTTAGTGACAGGTTACCACAAAGGACACCTGGGCATTAGTCCTCCTGAGGACCTCTGAGAGATAATACAGAATATCCCTCAGAGTTGTGCCACCCAGTAGATGATGAAGCTGAGTTATTTATCTTCCAGTTTCCATCTGTCACTAGATAAGGACTGCCACCGGTGTTTCAACTTCCCAGAACATTTGGCCTCTCTTCCCTGCACATGAGCCTTAGCAGACAGAGAAAGCTCTCAGATGCAGTATTGGTGATGGCAGCAGAAAACCATCTGTGTGTACAGCAATGGTAAATGACAGGGAAATATGAGCAGAATATTAAGATCTGCTACATAGTTTAAGTAGATTTTAAGGGGGAAATTATTACTAGAGGTAAAGAGGGATGTTTTACTTTTTTAATTAAATTTATGGGGTACAAGTGCATTGCATGCAGAGATTGCATAATGGTCAAGTCAGAGCTTTTAGGGCATCCATCACTCAAATAACATACTTTGTACCCATTAAGTAATTTCTCATCCTACACCTCTCTGTCACTCCTTTGCTCTCTGAGTCTCCAGTGTCTGTCATTCCACTCTCAATGCTCATGTGTACACAGTTTTAGCACCCACTTATGAGTAAGAACATGCAAGATTTGTCTTTCAGTGTCTGGCTTGTTTCACTTAAGATAATAACCTCTAATTCCATCCGTGTTGCCACAAAGACATGATTTCATTCTTTTTGTGGCTGAATAATATTTTATTGTGTGTATATGCCACATTTTTTATCCAATCATCTACTGATGAACTTGGCTTGATTCCATATATTTGCTATTGTGAATAATGCTGTGATAAATATATGAGTGCAGTTGTGTTTTTGATATATTATTTTCCTTTGGATAGATACCCACTAGTGGATAAAATGGTAGTTCCATTTTTGATTCTTTGAGAAATCTCCATACCATTTGCCACAGAAGTTGTACTAGTTTACATTCCCACCAACAGTGTTTCGTTTTCTCCATATCCTCACCTATATCTGCTATTTTTTGTGTTTTTAATAATAGAAATTATTAACAGTGGTATAAGATAATATCTCATTGTTGTTTTAATTTGCATTTCTTTGATGATCAGTGGTGTTGACCATTTTTCCATATACCTGTTGGCCATTGGTATGTCTTCTTTTGAAAAATGGGTGCTCATATCCTTTGCCCATTTTTTAATGGGATTGTTTGTTGGTGGTAGTTGTCATTGCTGTTGCTGTTGTTGAGTTGTTTGAGTTCCTTATAAATTCTAGATATTTGTCATCTGTTGGATGAATAGTTTGCAGATATTTTCTCCCATTTTTCAGGTTGTCTGTTCACTCTGTTGCTTATTTTCTTTGCTCTGCAGAAGTGTTTTAGTTTAATTAAGTCCCATTTGTCTATTTTTGTTTACTGTGCTTTTGAAGTCTTAGTCAGAAATTTTTTGTCTAGGCCAATGTCCAGAAGAGTTTTCTTCTAGTATTCTTATAGTTTCAAGTCTTACAGTTAAATCTAATCTTGAATCACTTTTGTGTATTGTGAGAGATAGGCATCCAGTTTAATTCTTGTCTGTGGCAATCAAATTTTCCACATACCATTTATCGAAAAGGGTGCAAGAGGTACACTTTAAAAGATAAAAGTTTTAGTCCATAGACATATGTAACAAATATAATTCATATACCCTTAATAACATAGCACCAAAATATATAAGGCAAAAAATGACAGAACTAAAAGGGAAAATAGAGAAATCCACCATTTTAGCAGAATCGTAGCAATATCTTACTAAAGATATTGAAGATCTGAACAACACAACAAATAATTTGATTTAATTGACACACAAAGGAGGCCTAACAACTTCAGAAAACACATTCTTCTCAAGTATAAACAGATCTTTACAAAATCAAAAGCCATAAGTCTTACACATTCCTAAATTTAATATTGTACATAAAAAGTTTTCTGTCTTACAGGTTTCTAGGTTTAATATTATACATAAAAAATGTTTTCTAACCACAGTTCAAGTAAGCTAGAATTAATAACTAACAGATAAGTAAAAATCCCACCTACCTGGAAATTTAAAATATACTTCTAAATATCCTATAGATTAATGGAAAAATTACAATGGAAATTAGAAAACATTTTGAACTAATGATAATGAAAATATGACACATTAAATTTGTTAAATGTAATTACAGTTTAATTTATAAGTAAATGAACATTAGAAAAGGATTCAGACTCGACCACTTGCAGCTATGTCACGTTGGGTAAATCATCTTCTGCTGAACTTCGTTTCCTCACCAACACAACATAGGCTCCAATAACTACTGCAGAGAGATTTTTTGTGAAGCTAGGAGGATTTCAAATTTAAAGCTTTCAACCCAGTAGAAGGTCCATTAACTGATTGATAAATGTGACTATTCCCAGACAGGGGTCCCTTCCAGGTATAAGCAAGCTATTGCACAGGAAGCCCAGAAGTTCCCAAGTTCTGCATTCAGGGACCTCTAGGATAAGGAAGTCAATGAAATAAGCATTCAGCCTCTAGATTTAAGCTTTTTACACTGTTGATTTGCAGATCAGGCTGCTGTGGCTATGCTGTGACATAGTGAAGAAACAGGGAAGAAAAGGAGGGATACCTCTCAGTAAGACCTGAGGCATCTCCGTCCACAGCAGTTAAACACACTCCATGCCAGTACAAACACCAACCTAAAGTAATAAGACTGTTCTGGTTACCCTGCAGTGTTACCCTCCTCCCTACCTTCCCCAGGTCCTTCCACACATTCCATTAAGCTTTGAGACCTTTTATAAGCATTTGGTGTCCTCTGTTGCTTTCCTCTGCCCTTATTGTTCTATTGCCTTCTCCATCTTACTTGATTTTATCTGGTGAAACAGGGTAGGGAAATTAAAGGACCCTCAAGAAGCATTTATCCCAGTCATTCCTTTGACTTTTGTGTTTTGTTTTGTTTTATTTGTTTTTGAGTCAGAGTCTTACTCTGTCACTCAGGCTGGAATGCACTGGCATGATCATGGCTCACTGCAGCCTCAAACCCCTGGGCCCAAGCAATCCTCCTGCCTTGACTTCCCAAACATCTGGGATTACAGGTATGAGCTACTGTGCCTGGCCCATTCCTTTGATTTTTATATGTGTGGAAATGAGGTCAACTTGGTCAACTTGGCTCAAAGCCATTGGCAGAATGTGATCTAGAATCCAGTTCCAACTTCATTACCATTTCCTCAACTGCATGTTGCTTCTCCCGTAGCTCTGGCCTCTGACTTATCTCATCTTCTACAAAGAATAGAATTCCTATTTAATAGATATCTTTGAACCATGGTGTATTCAGTTCCTATGGCTGCTGTAACAAACTACTATAAACTTGGTGGCTTTAAACAGCACAAATTTATTCTCTTATCATTCTGGAGTCCTGAAGTCTAAAATCAATTTTACTGGAATGGAATTAAGGTGTAGGTAGGGCTCCCTGAAGTCTTGAGGAAAGAGCCCCTTCCATTGCCTTTTCCTGTTTCCAGTAGCCACCTATATTCTTTGGCTCTGGACGTTTCCTCCATCTTTTTTTTTTTTTTTTTTTAAACGGAGTTTTGCTCTTGTTACCCAGGCTGGAGTGCAATGGTGCAATCTCAGCTCACCACAACCTCCACCTCCTGGATTCAAGCAATTCTCCTACCTCAGCCTCCCAAGTAGCTGGGACTACAGGCGCGCGCCACCATGCCCAGCTAATTTTTGCATTTTTAGTAGAGACGGGGTTTCACCATGTTGACCATGATGGTCTCGATCTCTTGACCTCGTGATCCACCCACCTCGGCCTCCCAATAATTTGTGTGTTTTTAGTAGAGACAGGGTTTTGCCATGTTGGCCAGAATGGTCTCTAACTCCTGACCAGGTGATCTGCAGATCACCTCCCAAAATGCTGGGATTACAGGTGTGAGCCACCACACCCAACCTCCACTTCCTTCTTATAAGGACACATGAAAGTGCATTTAATGTTCACCCATATAATCTTCCCATCTCAAGATGCTTAACTTAATCACATCTACAAAATCTCTCTTGCCATGTAGGTTAACATTCATAGGTTCCAGGGATTGGGACCCGGATATCATGGGTAAGAGAGGGGAAAGGCCGTTATTCAGCCAACTATACATGGTAACTGGTTTAATGAAATGGATGGAAATGGCTTCCAAAATTATGACCTACATAAACACACTCCGATACAAATTGAAAAGGTGGGGTTAAAGAAGTTGCCAAAGAAAACCTAAAATATCTTTGATTCTGTTTGGATCCTAGCTCAACAAATCAACTATACAAATACACTTTTAAGACAAGTAGGGACATTTGAACGTAGACTGGATATAATAGAGGTTACCCAAGAATTACTGTTAATATTGTTAGATGTGATAAGGAAATTATGGTTATGTAAGAAAATGTTTCTTTTTAAGAGGTGCATAATGAAGCATGTAGAAGTGTAATGATATGAGGTCATGAGAAAATTTGCTTTAAAATACTTCAGAAGGCAGCCGGCTCCCCACGGAATCACTGATGTCTCTCCTGGCTGTATTTCCAAAACGTCTCTTTCTAACAAGCTGACACTGGACAAGCTGCACATGAAAGGGAAGCGGGTTGTTATGAGAGTCGACTTCAATGTTTCTATGAAGAACAACCAGATAACAAACAACCAGAAGATGAAGCCTGCTGTCCCAAGCATCAAATTCTGCTTAGATAATGGAGCTAAGTCAGTAGTCCTTATGAGCCCCCTAGGCTGGCCTGATGGTGTCCCTATGCCTGACAAGTACTCCTTAGAGCCTGTTGCTGTGGAATTCAAATCTCTGCTGAGCAAGGATGTTCTGTTCTTGAAGGACTGTGTAGGACCAAAAGTGGAGAAACCCTGTGTCAACCCAGCTGCTGGGTCTGTCAACCTGCTAGAGAACCTCTGCTTTCATGTGGAGGAAAAAGGGAAGGCAAAAGATGCTTCTGGGAACAAGGTTAAGGATGAGCCAGCCAAAATAGAAGCTTTCCAAGATTCACTTTCCAAGCTAGGGGATGTCTATGTTAATGATGCTTTTGGCACTGCTCACAGAGCTCACAGATCCATAGTAGGCGTCAATCTGCCACAGAATGCTGGTGGTTTTTTGATGAAGAAGGAGCTGAACTACTTTGCCAAGGCCTTGGAGAGCCTAGAGCGATCCTTCCTGGCCATCCTGGGCAGAGCTAAAGTTGCAGACAAGATCCAGGTCATCAATAATATGCTGGACAAAGTCAATGAGATGATTATTGGTGGTGGAATGGCTTTTACCTTCCTTAAGGTGCTCAACAACATGGAGATCGGTACTTCTCTGTTTGATGAAGAGGGAGAAAACCATCATCAGAGATTCTTACGAACAGCTCTATGCAAATAAACTAGTAAACCTGGAAGAAATGAATAAAATCCTGGACACTTGCAACCTCCCAAGCGTAAACCAGCAAGAAGTCGAAACCATAAATAGACCAATAACAAGATCTGAAGTTGAGGCAGCAATTAAGAGCCTACCACACAAAAAAAGCCCAGGTCCAGATGGGTTCACAGCCGAATTCTACCAGACACACAAATAGGAACTGGTACCATTTCTTCTGAAACAATTTCAAACAATCCAAAAAGAGAGAATCCTTCCGAAATCATGTTTTGAGACGAACATCCTGATACTAAAACCCGGCAGAGACTCAACAAGAAAACAAAACTTCAGGCCAATATCCTTGATGAACATAGATGAAAAAATCTTCAATAAAATACTGGCAAGCCGATTGCAACAGCACATCAAAAAGCTTATCCATCATGATCAAGTAGGATTCATCCTGGGGATGCAAGGCTGGTTCAACATCCACAAGTCTATAAATGTAATTCACCACATAAACAGAACCAAAGACAAAAACCACATGATTATCTTAATTGATGCACAGAAGGCTTTTGACAAAATTCAACAGCCTTTTATGCTAAAAACCCTCAGTAAACCAGGTATTGATGGAAGGTATCTCAAAATAATAAAAGCTATTTATGACAAATCGACAGCCAATATCATACTGAAAGGGCAAAAACGGGAAGCATTCCCTTTGAAATCTGGCACTAGACAAAGATGCCCTCTCTCACCACTCCTATTCAATATAGTACTGGAAGTTCTAGCCAGAGCAATCAGGAAAGAAAAAGAAATAAAGGGTATTCAATTAGAAAAGGAGAAAGCCAAATTGTCTCTATTTGCAGATGACATGATAGTATATCTAGAAGACCCCATCGTCTCAGCCCAAAATCTTCTGAAACTGATAAGCAATTTTAGCGAAGTCTCAGGATACAAAATCAATGTGCAAATATCACAAGCATTCCTAGACACCAATAACAGACTTAAAGAGAGCCAAATCAAGAATGAACTGCCATTCACAATTGCTACAAAGAGAATAAAATACCTAGGAATACAACTAACAAGGAACGTAAAGGACCTCTTCAAGGAGAACTACAAACCACTGCTCAACGAAATAAGAGAGGACACAAACAGATGGAGAAACATTCCATGTTCATGGTTAGGAAGAATCAATATCGTGAAAACGGCTATACTGCCCAAAGTAACTTATAGATTCAACGGTATCCCCAACAAGCTACCAATGACCTTCTTCACAGAGCTGGAAAAAAAACACCTTAAACTTCATATGGAACCAAAAGAGAGCCCACATAGCCAACTCAATTCTAAGTAAAAAGAACGCAGCAGGAGGCATCACACTACTGGACTTCAAACTATACTACAAGGCTACAGTAATCAAAATAGCATGGTACTGGTACCAAAACAGAGACATAGACCAGTGGAACAGAGCAGAGGCCTCAGAGGCCACATAACATATCTACAACCATCAGATCTTTGACAAACCTAACAAAAACAAGCAAAGGGGAAAGGATTCCCTGTTTAATAAATGGTGTTGGTAAAACTGGCTAGCCATGTGCAGAAAGCAGAAACTGGACCCCTTCCTGATACCTTACACTAAAATTAACTCCAGATGGATTAAAGACTTAAACATAAGACCTAACACCATAAAAACCCTAGAAGAAAATCTAGGCAAAAACCATTCAGGACACAGGAGTAGGCAAGGACTTCATGATCAAAACACCAAAAGCATTGGCAACAAAAGCCAAAATAGACAAATGGGACCTAATCAAACTCCACAGCTTCTGCAGGGCAAAAGAAACAGTCATTAGAAGGAATCGGCAACCAACAGAATGGGAAAAATTTTTGCAGTTTACCCATCTGACAGAGGGCTGATATCCAGAATTTACAAAGAACTCAAACAGATTTACAAGAAAAAAACAAACAAGCCCATTCAAAAGTGGCCAAAGGAAATGAACAGACACTTTACAAAAGAAGACATACATGAGGCCAACAAACATATGAATAAATGCTCATCGTCACTGGTCGTTAGAGAAATGCAAGTCAAAACTACATTGAGATACCATCTCACGCCTAGAATGGTGATCATTAAAAAATCTGGAGACAAGAGATGCTGGAGAGGATGTGGAGAAATAGGAACACTTTTACTCTGCTGGTAGGAGTACAGATTAGTTCAACCATTGTGGAAGACAGTGTGGCGATTCCTCAAGGACCTAGAAATAGAAATTCCATTTGACCCAGCAATCCTATTACTGGGTATATATCCAAAGAATTATAAATCATTCTACTATAAAGGCATATGCACCCGAATGTTCATTGCAGCACTGTTTACAATAGCAAAGACCTGGAACCAACCCAAATGCCCATTTATGATAGACTGGACAGGGAAAATGTGGCACATATACACCATGGAATATTATGCAGCGATAAAAAACGATGAGTTCATGTCCTTTGTAGGGAAATGGATGAACCTGGAGAACATCATTCTCAGCAAACTGACACAAGAACAGAAAATGAAATACTGCATGTTCTCACTCATAGGCGGGTGCTGAACAATGAGAACACATGGACACAGGGAGGGGAGCACTACACACTGGGGTCTGTTGGGGGGAATAGGAGAGGGACAGCAGGGGGTGGGAAGTTGGGGAAAGATAGCATGGGGAGAAATGCCAGATATAGGTGAAGGAGAGGAAGGCAGCAAATCACACTGCCATGTGTCTACCTATGCAACTATCTTGCATGTTCTTCACATGTACCCCAAAACCTAAAATGCAATTTAAAAAATAATTAAATAAATAAATAAATAAAATACTTCAGCAAAAAGCGAAACAGACTAGGCACAGAAAGGCATATACTATATGATCTCACTTCTGTGTGGAATCTAAAAAGTGTTGAACTCATACAAGTAGAGAGTGGAATGGTGGTTACTAGAGGCTGGGGTTTGGACGGGAGATAGGGAGCTGTTGATAAAGGGTGTCAAGTTTCAGATAGATGGGAGGAAGAGGTTTTAAGATCTACTGCAGAGAAGGGTGACTATAGTCAATAATAATACATTATATATTTCAAAATAAGCGAGAGTGAACTTCAAATGTCTCACCATAAAAACTTATACATAACTGAGGTGATGGATATGTTAATTTACTTGATTTAATCATTTCACATTTTATACATATATCAAAATGTCACATTGTGCCTCATAAATATTTATAATTATTACTTGTTAGTCAAAAATAATATGAATAAAAAAGACTTCAGCAAAAAGGTAGATTTAGTAATAAAGCAAGGATGGCAAAATAGTACTAATTATTGAACATGGGTGACAGGAAGAGCAGCATTCCTTTCTTGGCTATTTTAATGTTATGAAATTAAATATTTAATTTTAAATATTTAAAATTATTAATTTTATTTTAATAGTAAAATTATCTCTATTGTTCTGTACATTTGAAATTTTTCAAGGGAAAATTAAAAATATAAAGCCTCTATTTTAGAATATAAATTGCCTGTCCCAGTCCCCAACACTCAGCATCTTACCATCTGCTCTGCAGGAAAGATAAACAAACTAGAAGTGAGGCAACCTGCCTGCCAGAATCAAAGAGGAATAATGAGTCTATGTGTTTAACATCTGATAGCCTGAGTGCTTGGTAAACATTGCCAAAGAAATCTCAGAGTTTTGACAATAGACCCCCATAGGAACATGTTTGTATGTGAGTATTACGTTTCTGTTTCTCAAACTTCTTTCTCCCTGTTTCTTCATGGGATTATAATAACCAACATAATGCTCCTTTCCCCAGTGAGGTTAGAATATGAAAGGAAAAGGGGGAGAGTAAAACTATCTACTATGCTGCCAGGGTGAGCTTTCTAACAAATCAATACAATCCTGTCTTTTCACTGGCTTCCCCATCTATGACATATGTCTGCATATCTTGACCAGACACGCAAGACCCTTTATGATCTGGACCCTCCCAAAGCTGAAGATCATTTTGCTCTAAGAGGAAAACTAACCTCCCAGGAAATGGAAGATAAATACAAAGGAATGTGTGTTTTAACACCAGTCTAACGAAGAATTACATAACAAATAGGAATTTGGAGTCAGGCTTTGGATAACAGGGAAACAATTTTCTTTGGAGTTCTTAACAGACCCAGAGCCATTTCAAGGAACTACCCAGAATTTAATTGCAAATTCATACTCTGAATTGAAAGATAAGTGATTAGGTGATTGATATGGCAACAAGATAGACAGATAGAGAGATAGATAATCTGGATACATGGGGAATCCTTCCTTTCTAAACCAAACATCATGGTCTCTACTTTAACAACAGGACATAATATTTGAAATTGTAAGTGCCATAGAAGCTTCAGGACACATGGATGTCATAGCAAATATTTTTTTCTCATCAGTGGAGCAAAACCATGCAAATAGATATTTTAGTGTAAAGTAAGGGGCCTCCCAGATTGCAAAACTAGGTCTTCTAGCTTGCAAAAATTGCTTTACTTCTCACTCCCATTCGCCATCAGTCCATCACCTTACAACAAGCTTTTGCCTATTCTTAAAAGCATAGTTAGATTTGGGAGATAAAAGTGTGCACAATAAATCAGTATATATTTACAAGATCCTACGTAAATTCAAATTGTTTATTTGAAATGATTATGTAACTGTCACTTAGTCCAAGTACTTGGCGTATTTCCGGAACTCCTCTTTAGTTGGGCAAGCACCGTGTCTTCTGTACTTGCATTTTATTTCTTCTTGCTGAAAGTACACTGATGTAAAGTTAAGATTTTATTAAGGTATTTGGATTGTTTTCTCTCTTCTCTAAACAACTATATATTCATTATCTACTACCTTCAACTAGAGATTATTATGCATTGACCTCAATTATTCTCTATTTCCCTGGAGATTTTTCTCTTTTTCAAAAATAATGTCAACTTGTATTTTAGATTCAGCGGGTACATGTACAGATTTGTTACCTGGGTATATTGCGTGAGGCTGACGTTTTGGGCACTATTGATTCAGTCACCCAGATACCAAGCATAATACTCAGTTTTTCGACCCTTGTTCTCACTCTTTTTTCCTCTAAGACTTTTTTTTTATTTATTTTTTAAGACTAGTCAAGTGCAGTAGTAAGAAGTGAGGAAAGAATAGAACAAGGAGTTCCATCTGTAACTGACTGTGAACAATCAAGATAATTCACTCCCTTTGGACCAGCCCCAAGACTTTATGGAAAAAAAAAAGTATGTTTCTGAAGGATGTTGAATTTGGTGATGATTTCTTAGCTATTATACCAAAAGTACAGACAACAAAAGAAGAAATAGATAATAGGACTACATCAAAATTTAAAATTTTCATGCATCAAAAGATACTATCAAGAGATTAAAAAGACAACCCACAGAATGGGAGAAAACATTTGTTAGTCACATATCTGACAACAGATTAATATTCAGAATATAGGCTGGAGGCAGTGGCTCAGGTGGGTAATTTCAGCACTTTGGGAGGCTGAGGTGGGTGGATCACCTGAGGTCGAGAGTTTGAGACCAGCCTAACCAATATGGAGAAACTCTGTCTCTACTAAAAATACAAAATAAGCTGGGTGTAGTGGCACATGCCTGTAATCCCAGCTACTTGAGGGGCTGAAGCAGAAGAATCGCTTAAACCCAGAAGGCAGAGGTTGCAATGAGCCAAGATCTAGCCATTGCACTCCAGCCTGGGCAACAAGAGTGAAACTCTGCCTCAAAAAAAATAAAAATCAGAATATATAAAGAACTCCTACAACTCTGCAATGAAAATACAAACAATCCAATTCAGAAATGAACCAAGGATTTGAATAAACATTTCTCCAAAGATATAAAAATGGCCAAAAAGCACATGAAAAGATGTCAACATCACTAGTCATTAGGGAAATAGTCATTAAGTCAAAACCACAATAAAATATTACCTCACATCCATTAGGATGGTTCTTTTTTTTAATGGAAAAATACTGCAAGAAGTGCGTTTACTAAAATGAAAGCTGTATTGGCAAGGATGTGTAAAAACTGGAACACTTGTGCATCACTGGTGGGAATGTAAAATGGCGCAGCCACTATGAAAAACATATGACATTTCCTCAAAAAGTTAAAAATAAAATTACTATATGATCCAGCAATTCCACTTTCAGGTTTATGCCCCAAAAAATTGAAAGCAGGAACTCAAACAGATACTTGTATACCCATATTCATAGCAGCCCTATTCACAACAGCTAAAGGTAGAAAGACAGAAAAAAAATGAAGTGTCTATAATCAGATAAATGGATAAATAAATGTGGCATACACATACAATGGAATATTCGCCTTAAAAAGAAAGAAAATTCTGACAAGGTGCATTGTAATCCTAGTAATTTGGGAGGCCAAGGTGGGTGGATCGCTTGAGCTCAGGAGTTCAAGACCAGCCTGAGCAAGATGGCAAAGCCCTGTCTCTACCAAAAACACAAAAAATTAGCCAAGCATGGTGATACATGCCTATAGTACCAGCTACTTGGGAGGCTGAGGTGGGAGGATCACCTGAGCTTGGGAACTTGAGGCTGCAGTGAGCCAAGATTATGCCACTGGGCTTCAGCCTTGGTGACAGAGTGAGACCTTGTCTCAACAAAAAGGAAATTATGATACATGCTGCAACATAGATTAACCTCAAAAGCATTGTGCTAAGTGAAAAAAGCCAGACACAAAAAATCAAATATTGTATTATTCCACTAATAAGAGGTACCTAGAACAGGCAAATTCATGGAGACAAAAAGGGTTACCAGATGCTGGGAGAGGAACAAAGACATTATTTAATGGGTACAAAGTTTCTGTTTCTGATAAAATAGTTCGGAAATGGGTAGTGATGACAGTTGTACAACACTGTAAATGTACGTAATGCCACTGAACTGTACACTTATGATTTAAATAATTATTTCTGTATTATGTAAATTTTACATTGCCATTATTTTTTAAATAATTGTTTAAAGTATATTTCTTAAGGACTTGGCCTGTCTGCAACAACTCTAGTATTCTACACGAAGCCCAGGAATGCCAGGCATACAGTGGGTATTTTAAATACATTTGCCCAATAATTGGTATGTTTCTTGGTTGCCAGAATCATTATTTACATGAACAGGGAAGGAAATGGAAGAAAGCAAACAAAAGAATATTAGTGCCTACTACGTCCCAAACACTGTCAGAGGCTTAAGATACCCTCATTCACTTAATCCTTAAAGCCATTAAATTCCAAAAGAACTTTGCATCATAATCAGAACTTCAAATGGGTGTCCTGCTTGGTTCACTTACTGATGGTGTTTTTACATGTCACGTCATCTTCATATTATCAGGAAGTCAAGATGTGATATTATTTTGAGTAGAGGTGGGTCAATTTTTCCCCAGGTGGCTTCTGTAGATGAAGACCAAGCCTGTTGGTGACTACAACCACGGGGTTGAGTGGTACAATGAGACAGCTCTGCAACACTGGACTTGGGACTCTTCAAAGATGCCCTACTGGTGCTAGACAGGTGAGCAATGGGGGAGATTCCTCATCAATGGAGCCCCAAGTACATTTAATTGTTCGCTTTTATAGTCAAGATTTGTCCCTGGCTCCCAGCCCTTCTTTTGGAGGCTGGGGTCGAGGGGGAAGAAGGAGCAATGAGGACTTATCAAAGGTAGATGCTTGGTTAGGAAAAACTGGTGCTGAGCCTGTATTTATATTAGATTTGGAAATATGAAAATATACGCCTATGTTTTTCGGGTTTTATTTGTTTGTCTAGCATAATGGGAAAAACCCAAACTGTCTTTCAGCTATTCTTCTGACTGTATGATTCCAGTTTCTGTGACTTTTACCTATAGGTCAACTTGAAAAGAAAACAAAGGCATTGGAAAGAGGCCCAAGGGACTTGAGGTCAAATTTCAGCTCCATAACTTACCAGGTATATGATCTTAGCAAGTTATTTCATGTCTTTTTTTCTTTTTGTTTTTTGAAATGGAGTCTCACTCTGTCACTCAGGCTAGAGTGCAGCGGTACAATCTCAGCTCACTGCAACCTCCAATGCCCTGGTCTAAGCAATTCTCCTGCCTCAGCCTCCTGAGTAGCTGGAATTACAGGCATGCACTACCATGCCCAGATAATTGTTGGACTCTTAGAGACAGAGTTTCATCATGTTAGCCAGGATGGTCTCGATCTCCTGACCTCATGACCCACCGGCCTCGGCCTCCCAAAGTGCTGGGATTACAGGCGTGAGCCATGGAGCCCAGCCATTATTTCATGTTTTTAGATATCAATTTCATCATCTATAAAATGAGAGCTTGCTGTCATGTAGCTTTATGTAGCTCAGTCCTAGAAGCAGCCTGCCTAGATACGAATTCTGGTTCTTACACCTACCAGCTGTGAGACCTTAAACAGCCTTCTTACTCTTTCTATGTCTTAGAGTCCTAAGCTGAAAAATGAAGATAATAAAAATATTTAACTAATATTCTTAATGAGGATTAAATGAGTTAATGCTTGTGAAGCCCCTAGAATGGAAACTGGTACATAAGAGGAGCTGAATAAAAATTAACTTTTAATATTATCATATGAGTGTTTAACTTTCTCTTTTAAAAAATATAGCCCCCGATATTTAAAAACATTTTAAAAATATGACCTTCCATAAAGCTTACTTCCAGTCCAGTGATGCATGTTTTAAACACAAGAAATACACCACCGTTTTGCTTTAGATGGTTGAAGCTATATAACACAAAATGTAAAAATGTAATGTAAATTATTTAGTAGAAACTTTAAAGGAGGAATAATTTTCTGTGGTGCTGATGATCCAACGATTTCTGGATCATCACCAAAAAACAAGCTTTTAAAACATACAGCTTAAATGCCTTAATTCTTTGGAGAGCTTCTTGTTATTTAATCCTCAGGCTCCAATCATGAAGAAATATTACTTCAGGAAAGAATAGAGAAGCCACATCGCTACTAACTGTTGACATGTTTGTCATAGGATTCAATGTCTGAAATAAAGCACTGCAGGTCTGACTGGTTCTGTTGTCTGGAATAAAACAGCAAGAAATGGGAGCCAATTCCACAAAAGAGCAGGGCTTGAGCAACGAAGGGAAGCTCTATCTTCAATCCTAGTTTTTCTTCCCTTCTCACTGCTTCGCTCCCCTATCCCTTCCCCTGCCCTACTCCTCCCATGGTTTCCAAAACTACAATCTTAATAAAATCCCAGGTGGAAGGAAAGGAAGAGCTAAAGTAGCATGTAAATTAGATAAGTTGGTCTTGATCCTTGATATGGTCCTTCAGTTGACAAATTACAACAGCAGAATTAAGTTTACTAATAGATTCAGAGGTTTCAATTTGTGGCCTTAAAAAATCATAACTGGTAAATCCGCCGGTTTGGTCAGGTTAGTCAGGCTGCTTTGGGTACCTACCTACCCTAAGACATACGCAAAGCCCAGAAATTACACTTTGGGTCAATCTCCTGAGATTACTACCTCCTTGGCAGATTGTTATGGACCCCCTGAGCATTAACTCAGAACTATTTCCAACTTAAAATCTTGAAGCCCCATCTTGAAGTAAGTTCAGGTCTAAATTGAAAGGAATACGGGTTCAATCTCTCCATTCACCTCTTGTGTTCTCACATCAGTCATTTTCTTCCAGCACAGCTCAGACAAAACCACTTATTAACAGAGTAGAAGTTGTCAGAACCAATGAGGCAGGAAGAAGTCGTTTGGGACTAGGAGCAGATGTTTCATCAACACAAGTGGACACACTTAAGTCCTTGTCAAGTTTCCTCATGATTTCTCCCATGCAGAGTTACAAGGAACCAGTGAAAATACTTTTTGCCAACTGAAAATGCAAGTTACTGAGAAGGTCATTTGATCTTGTGGCTTATGAAAGGAAAGAACTGGGAGTGTGGAGGCATGTCAATGGTAACTGACGCTACCAGTGGCAAAACTGGCTCACTTCCAACTGACTCAGATTGGCCAAGAAGACCTGACAAGTGTATCAGATAGGAGTTTATAAAAAATTGGTTAATGGGTTTAAAATGCTAAGTTGACTAAGGTGTCCTCAGATACACTGAGCCTTCCTGCAATGCCGTTTCTTTCTTTTTTTTTTTTTTTTTTTTTTTTTGAGACAGAGTCTCCCTCTGTCCCCAGGCGCCAGTATAGTGGCACAATCTCGGCTCACTGTAACCTCCGCCTCCCGGGTTCAAGCAATTCTCCTGCCTCAGCCTCCCGAGTAGCTGGGACTACAGACGTATGCCACCACACCCAGCTAATTTTTGTATTTTCAGTAGAGACAGGGTTTTCACCATGTTGGCCAGGATGGTCTCAATCTCTTGACCTCGTGATTCACCTGCCTCAGCCTCCCAAAGTGCTGGGATTACAGGCTTGAGCCACCGCGCCCGGCTGATCTCTAATCATTTTTAATGCTGAGGAAGAACTGGTAAGATTCCAAATTTCTCTTAAATTTTATTTTTAGTGCATTTGCATTCCCACTGACATTGTAATTAGGCTAATTATCAAAAGCTTGATTTCAACTGGGCAGGATGACTCATACCTGTAATCCTAGCACTTTGGGAGGCTGAGGCAGGAGGATCACTTGAGCCCAGGAGTTTGAGACTAGCCTGGGCAACCTGGCAAAACACTGTCTCTACAAAAAAAATGCAACCCTTAGCCAGGCATGATGGCACAGGCCTGTAGTCCCAGCTTCTCAGGAGGCTGATGTGGTGGGATCCGCTGAGTCTAGCAGATGGAAGCTGCAGTTAACCCTGATGGCACCACTATACTCCAGCCTGGGTAACAGAGCAAGACTCTGTCTCCAGTTAAAAAAAAAATTCTCCAAATACACAACTCTCAAAAGAAGGAAGACAGATCAGAAGGATGCTGAATGAGTGGCAAGAAGAAATAATTTTGGAATTAAAACTCTTCCCTAGCTGTATTAGGTCATGTTGCCCAGAAAAGAGACTATAGTAGGGATTGTCATGAGGATTTTACTGGAGAGTGATCTCAGGAATCTCAGTAAGGGGCTGCAGAAAAAACGATTGATCACGAGAGACTGAACTCTTACGTAGAACAGTTCAGTCTCAGCTGATGTCATGGGGGCTGGAATAGCCCTTCAGAGTTGCTTCAAATGGAGGCAAGGGAGCCTGGAACATTTTGCATATCATTTTGTACATCACATCGTCATGGGTGCAGTCTGCTTCTGAGCAAGGAGCATAGGCGTAGTAGTCTTTTCACACTGCTGATAAAGACATACCCAAGACTAGGCAATTTACAAAAGAAAGAGGTTATTGGACTCACAGTACCACGTGGCTGGGGAGGACTCACAATCATGGCTGATGGTGAAAGACACGTCTCACATAGTGGCAGACAAGAGAAGAGAGCTTGTGCAGAGAAACTCCCTTTATAAAACCATCAGATCTCATGAGACTTATCCACTACCATGAGAATAGCATGGGAAAGACCTACCCCCATAATTCAATTACATCCTTCTGAATCCCTCCACAACATGTGGGAATTGTGGGAGCTACAATTCAAGATGAGATTTGGGTGGGAACACAGCTAAACCATATCAATAGTCTTGGGCAAGGAAGCTCCCTTAGGCTAAGGACAATGCCTAGAGTGGGACTTGGGTTAAAAACTATCAGCAACAGTCAATACTTGAAGGGTGCTGAAAGAATGAGTACCTCAGACTTGAAGCAGAGGACCTGAGTGGCACACCATAGTATCCCCTCTACAACCTAATCTAAATAATCCACACATAGGGCCAAGGAAGTGAACACATATATCAATAAGTAAACAATGCTCTTTAACCAGGAAAGTCAAATCAGAGTCATGAATATTTTTTAAATTACTTGGGGATGCTATTGAGAAAACTGTGTATCTAAAATATTCTGTCAAATGCGTAGCTATATTGGAGAAATCACTCAATATATCAATTTAGCTAAATAAAACAAGGAAGGCTTGGATCCATTGCTTTCCCCAAGGAGGCTGACGGAAACATACTCAGCCTCATGGTAAGACTAGCCGCCTCTCTAGTATTGCTAATACTAGAATGAGGTAAAATAGTATTACAGGTAACAATGTTGTAGTTAACAGGCCCTACCTGTGCCTGGCACACACTAAATTCCCTTTAATAACAGTATGGAATTTTAACATTAATATAAAGACCCAGTAACACTGATTGCTTTGCCGCCATTCTTAAATACAAATGCCTATCCCTCAAAAAATGCCACCATCTGGACCCGATGTGGAGTTATGACTTACACAAAAGATTTTACCTATTGATCCCATGAAGAAAGAGTTTGTTTGAATGCACTAATGAGAAACTAGCAGGACTTCCGAAAATTAGAAACCCAAACGCTCTAGAATGAGTTCAAGTTAGTGTAGCAACCACGATTCTAAAAGTCAGAGCCCACCACAAGAACTGTTAGCCTAAGACCCAAGATCTAAAACTAATGGTTCTGTAATATGAAGACTACTGTACAAACGGAAATACTATCAGTTGGATGTTAGGCAGAAGGATACCGTGGGGGTGCTATTAAAAAGTAGTTACAGGGACAGGCGCGGTGGTTCACACTTGTAATCCCAGCACTTTGGGAGGCCGAGGCATGTGGATCACGAGGTCTAGAGATCGAGACCATCCTGGTCAACATGGTGAAACCCCGTCTCTACTAAAAATACAAAAATTAGCTGGGCACGGTGGCGCTGCCTGTAATCCCAGCTACTCAGGAGGCTGAGGCAGGAGAATTGCCTGAACCCAGGAGGTGGAGGTTGCAGTGAGCCGAGATCGTGGCATTGCACTCCAGCCTGGGTAACAAGAGCCAAACTCTGTCTCAAAAAAAAAAAGTAGTTATAAATAGGAACCCTTAAATCAGACTCTCCAGAAAAATTAAAAACCCTCCCACTACCACTTTTTTTGCTATATGCACTCTTAGGACAAGTCAATTAACTTTTCTGAGCCTCAGTTTTCTCATTTGCAATTAGTAATAGTGCCAATCTCATTCAGATCGTGGTGCCATTACACAGGTTCATACATAGAAAGTGCGTAGCAGAATGTTTTCCATGTTCATATATTCAAGCAACCAATAAATGCCGAAGAGTAGTAATGAGTATATTTGAAAATATTGTAAATTTTGAAAAATAATATGTTCAAGCTAGATAGTTCAGAACTATATTCAGTGAAATATGTGCTTTTGGAAAAGATCCAAAAAAAAAATCTTTTGAAAGTTTAAGTTATAAAACTTCCCACGGCCACATAGTATTGTGAAACAATGTCAGGCACAATTGTTCGAGTTCAGCATATTCTTGTATCATGATTTTAAACTTTTAAAAGATGTTTTTAAAACCAATGTAACCCTTTGTGTATTTAAGTTACTTTTCTATTATAGGTTTTTTCTTATTATTAGGGAAGAGGGATATATACATTTCATGAAATAAATAATATCTAATGGGAATAAATCATCAGAAAATAATTTGATGAGGCTGGGCACGGTGACTCACACCTGTTATTCCAGCACTTTGGGAGGTCAAGGCAGGCAGATCACCTGAGGTCAGGAGTTCAAGACCAGCCTAGCCAACATGGTGAAATCCCGTCTCTACAAAAATACAAAAAAAAAAAAAAATTAGCTGGGCATGATGGCGGGTGCCTGTAATCCCAGTTTCTTGGGAGGCAGAGGCAGGACAATCACTTGAACCTTGGAAGCAGAGGCTGCAGTGAGCCCAGATTGCTCCATTGCACTCCAGCCTGGGTGACAGAGCAAGACTCTGTATCCAAAAAAAAAGAAGAAATAGGTTTTAACTATCTTATTGAGTAATGTGTACCTAATCTGTAAACACATCTCAGAAACAGCCTTTGTTGTTTTAAGAAGTTTGTTGGAAATTTAGTATTATACATTTGACTACTTCTTTGTAGTTTTCAAAGAAAACTTTATACTCTTATCTCTTCTGATGAGCTTTATCTCTGAACTCTCTTAGCTGGGCATACTATACTCTGGAATCTTGGTGGCCTTTATAGAGACATGGAAGGGAAGATGGCAGAAATTAAGCCAAAATTAAGCTGTCCTGAAGCTGACTCTCATTTCTCGTGAGAACACCTCTAGGAAGCTGTAGGAAAAGGCTTCAGTATTTTCCCACATGTTTTGACTTTCTGTATTTAACTCAGCCAACCACTGAGAGAGCTCTTTCCTTTGAGGGAACTTCTTTCAGTCCTAAGAAAGTGGAAGGATGATAATTTCCCATATTGTTGATGAACTGAAAATAGTATCAGTGCATTTATAGCTTTCTTCAACAGGAGAGAGAGAGAAGGGCGGAGAGAGACAAAGATATTATAACTACTAAAAAGGAAAAGGACAATTTTTATTTTCCATAAGATCATTGGTTCTTGGGTTGTAGGGGAAATACTGACAGAATCTGAAACCTAATTGATTGTTATCAAAAGATTATGCAGATAGCTCAAAAACTGTCAGGCAACATTCACACCCACCTGTTTTCCTGACCTAATATCCTGAAAAAAGCTGAAATGTGCCTCTTCAACATCAATGAAGGGAAAAGATCACAGAATTATTTAGCTAAAAGCACTTATTAAATATCTAGTTCATTATTTTATTTTTAGATACCTAGAAAATGTGAAAACATAAGAAGTGTTTTTAAACATATCATTTAAAATCTATTATTATTGTGAATAAATAAAAACAGGTGATATATAATACAGAAAGTAAATGGGAAATAAAAAGAATCTCCTCTGATGCACTCTTCCTACTGAGGTACAAACTAAGAATATTATTTCTACAGCCAGGTTGCAGTGTTGGTACAGCAGAAACTCATTGTTATAAAAATGTGAGGCATATTATTTGCCATAAGAAGTTAACTCTGATGTGTTAGGGTGTTGTCATCCAACTGAATGAAATTATTACATTCTGGAATGTCTATGTGTATTTAATTACTTTAGAGCCCACATCAATGAAACCGAAGCCATGTTTTCACAAATTTAACCCCCAAATGGTTTCAGTTACCTGAGCCCTGTTCTG